CACTAGCTCACCTACCACTGAGAAACCAGATTCAGACATGTAGGACCTCACAAAAGACACCTTTGAGAAGCCTTTCTGGGGAATCTACTTCAGGGTATACCTCACTGAATAAAATAAGTAGAAATGGCTAGAGCCAGTGGTGGTTCACACAGTGGTGTAATTCTAGCAGTGAGGCAAAGGCAGATCAGAAGTTCAAGGCCACTCTGGGCTATAGAGCAAGAAAACAACAAGCCATAGAGTTTGGGATACACCTTCAAACAGATGAGGTTGGTTGAGTCTTGCAGTGATGAGGTACATGGAGGAGAGAGAAGTCAGAAGAAACAGAAGGCTGTGTGCAGAGGTCTCCATTCTGTGGTTTGCATGTGCTCTGCATTCATGGTTGTAATCACATACACATTGATTGCCTCAGATGTGTAGTAGGTGTGAAGATGTGTTGCAAATTGCAGATTCCTCTGCCATAGGAGACCAAGAGGTAGTGCCTCATACCTGGAGCAGTTAAAAGCAAAATGGGGGCGTGTGTTTTTTGGGGGGGGGTGATACCTGCTGTTTTTGCAGTGTTGAAGAAACAAACCTTGCTGCTGGTGAAGGATTTGATTGGTAGTGTTTCTCATGGCTGTTGGTCTGTATATAAAAAAGTTTTTAAAAATATGCGTACCTTCTAAGCCAGGAATTCCCTTCTAGGAAAAAAAAACAAAACAAAACAGAAGAAAACAAACAACAACAACAAAAGGCCCTAGAGCTGTGTGCAGACAGTAAGCCCCTTATCTCAGCAGTTGAGTACACCGCCAACAGGAAGTGCAGGAGTTTAGATTAGAAACTCACAGGCTTGAGATTTTAGCATAAGTAAACACGGTGACTGGAAATAATATTTTGGGTTGAGAGTGATTTTTCTCTCGGTGCAGTATACTTTTTACATTGAGATGATTGTTATGGGCCTGGAGAGATGGCTAAAGCTGTGAGAACCCTGTCTTCTTTCAGAGGACGATTCAGTTCCCAACACCGACAATGGTAGCTTAAAACCATCAGCAACTGCAGACTTAGGGGGAATTTGGGGCCCTCTTTTGGCCTCCATCGGCACTGCATGCACATTTTATACAGATATATATAGGCAAAATACCCATACATGTTGGAAACAAAAAAATGATTATTGTGTAAGAGGGTTCCCAAACTACCATGGTTCAATTTAGGATTTTTCAATTTTCCATTGATGTGAAAGTGATAGATGTTCAAAAGAAACTGTACTTAAGAGTTTTGAATTTTGATCTTTTCCTGGGTTTAAAAGTGTGATCTTCTTTGAGTTTTGGGTGACAGCAAGGAGCCACAGGTTCCCTTCCTTCATATGGTCACAAGGGAGAGGCTACCAGAACACTGTGGTGTGGTGTATAATTGGATGTTTAGAAGAGAGATGTACGAAATGATAACTTGAGGTGAAAATGGCTTATGGTTGTGATTTCTTTCCTGAATGCTGGTTTCATATAGTATTTGTCTTGAGAACAGATAATAGTGTATTGTACAAATGACTTGAAATAAGGGGTTATAATGAGAAGACACTACAAGACAATATTCAGTGTGAGATTTTTTAAAGTTCTTTATGAAGCAGCCATAGCATCTTACAAAGAAGAAATTGTTCATCAGCTGCCCAGTAATGAACCAGAAAAGCTAGAGGATAATATCAACTAAATCTCAAAATGGATTGAGCAGTGGGTCAAAGATCATAACTCTTAACTTAGAGAGTGAGCAGCCAGGCCCCACCATGGCATCCACCTTTGTCCCAGATCCTGGGAAGCAACAGCTGGTCTACATGGTGAGTTTCAGGCTAGCCAGGGCTGTAGTAAGACTGTTTCAAAGGAGTAAAAAAGAAAGGCTGGCGTCAGTACAGCCACCCTTGTTGCTATCACTCAGTCTACGTAATAGAAATGTCTGAGGCTCGGCAGAAGAAAACTGTTGTAGTTTAGCTGCTGTCTGTATTTCTTTTTCTTCATGAGAAAATTTAAACGATCTCAGTTACAAATATCATTTATTAAGGAGTCCAAAAATTGTTTTCAAAATGATAATAAATTTGATCAGTGGATATACATCTTTTAAATTTAATCACTAAAGTGTAGGTGATCTCTTAAAATAAAAATGGAAACTCAAGATTAAAAAAAGAAAATGGCTCCTCCATGAGTTGAGATCAGTTGTGCAGGAAATCTAGAAACAAAGGTGGTAGTAGACTCAGTTGTAATTTGTGGGTTTCTCAATGCCACAAATTCCCAAGACATTTCATACTTGTTTATGTGTGTGTGTGATTGTGTGAATACATGCGCTGTGTGTGCAGGTGCCTTGAGAGCCCAAAAGAGGGAGTCAATTCCCTTGGAGTTGGAGTTACAGGCAACTGTGAGCTGCCCAGATGGATGCTGGGAACTGAACCTGGGTCCTCTGAAAGCAGCTCACACTTTTAAAAACTGAGCCATCTTTTCAACCTCTCCAGTGGCATTTTTTGTTTGTTTGTTTGTTTGTTTTGTTTTTAGAGACAGGGTTTCTCTGTATAGCTTTGGCTGTCCTGGACTCACTTTGTAGACAAGGCTGGCTTCAAACTTAGAGATTCGCCAGCCTCTGGTTCCTGAGTGCTGGGATTAAAGGCGTGTGCCACTACCGCCTGGCTGCCATTTCTTATTATAAATAATGAAGTAGGAAAGGTAGATAAATAGCATATGAGTCTATAGAATAAAGCAGTTATTGTAAATTTTGAGGAGTTTCTGAAAATAATACTGTGTTTTTACATCTAGGATGAAGCTGGGGGAAGATTCGTTGCTTTTTCTGGAGAGGGACAGTCGCTTCGTAAGAAGGGAAGAAAGCCCTAAGTCCAAAACTGTTGGCTGACTGGAAAATAAAAGATTCAATTGCAACACACTGGCTTATAGTTACCTGGCTTTGACAAGTTCAGAGAATGCTCTGTTATTTATGGTTTGTTTAGAGTTACCTAAGAACTCCCATGCTTGTCCTGGATGCAAAACAGCAGACCTTGGCGGTTGTGCTTGCTTTGGGGAAGAGAAAGCACTCTCAGGTCCCATGGTGACACCTTCTCCTCTTAATGCCTTCTGCTCTAGGGTGCTCCTAGGGCCTCAGCAGAGGAGTTCCCTGTTTCCTGACTTGCTCTTCTTTCCCAGGTCTGTATTCGGGGCAGTGTCTTCAGCCAATCATGGCCACTCAGGCCAGGACTTGACTACCTGACAAAGATGGTCTCTGCTCTTATTTACAGAGGGGATCTCATCCAGATGAATTCACTCTCATTTTAATCTTCTGGTTATCAGTGAATTCCATGATGAAGCCAAATGAATAAATGCTGACATTACGTGCCCCTATTGTGACTTTATTTATTACCCAAGGTTCTGATAGTTTTTCTGTTTTTCAAGTGCTAGGGCTGAACCAGAACGTCATGAATCTTAAGCATGCCACACACTCTGCCACGAGGTTCATCCATGTTCCATTTTCTTTTGGTTTTATTGTGCTCAGATCTACACTTTGTATGATGTAAGATCTTTTGACATCCTGATTCAATTATTTAAAATTTGTTCCTTGAGAATAATTCTTATTGAAGAATTAAATAAAATGATTAAAACTTGCCTCTAGCTTTTTGATAAGTTATGTCATGGATTGGTAGTTTGGGCCACTAGCTGGAAGTCATGGGAATGTCCACTTACATTAGAATGTACTTCTGAGACTGTAGAGGCTGTAGGGACAAATGACACTCCCTGACAGTTGGAGTGGGATGGTCAGACCTAGCATGGTTCCCAGGGTGGGTGCACTTTCCCTTTAGGTTGATGGCTCTGCAACGTGTCCAGTTGCCCCTGGCTCTGTGGCACATACATCCCTGGCCTCATGTGGCTCTGGAAGTTTAAGTGCTGTGGTAACCTGCCAGACCTGTCATGTTGGGACGTCTCAGTTTCACCAGCAGTAACACAGCCTTCATTTGTGGGATTCTGTGGGTGAACTTAAATTTTGTCCGGCTTCATGAACTCTTTGACTGCCTCCCCCAGCTGGGGGACCAGCCTTGCCAGGCCACAGAGGAGGACAATGCAGCCAGTTCTGGTGAGACCGGATAAGCTAGGGTCAGATGGAAGGGGAGGAGGGCCTCCCTTATCCGTGGACTTGACGGAGGGAGGGGGCTACAGCTGGGATACAAAGTGAACAAACTAACATAAAAACAAAAGTGTAGTTAAGATAATTTTGTCCGGCTGGAGAGGGTTAAGTAGCTAAGCACTTGTTCTTGCAGAGAGGGTCCAAGTTTGGTTCCCAGCACTCACATGGTAGCTCAGTCTTCTGTAACTCCAGTTTATGAGGATCTGTGTACACATGGTGCATGCACGTATTTATAAACCTAAAATAAATGTATTAATAAGATGTGTTTGTGACTGTGCATGTGTGGGTTAGAGGACAGCTCTCAGGAGTCCCTTCTGCCACCTTGAGGGATACAGTGATCAAACTCCTGTCCTTGGTTCTGCTCAGGCACTTCTAAGGTGGTTTGGGTTTTGTTTTTGTTGTTTGGTTGGTTGGTTTGGGCTTTCGTTTTGTTTTGAGAGAGGTTCTCACTAAATATATCCCTGGGTATATCCCTGTAACTCAAAGAGTCATCCCCCTGCTTTTGCCTCCTGAGTGCGGCGTTTAAAACTGTGCGCCATGGAGCCTCTTGCCTCTAGTAGAATTCCACCCTCAGCCATCCCACGCAGCTCCCACCTCCCCGTACGCCGAACCAAGCTCGCCTACACCTTTGAGTGTATGTTCAGGCCAGATCCCTGTAGTCTCAGACCATCATGTGGATTATTCAGGGCTCAAGAGTCTGTAATTGCAGAGCTGAACCATATCGGGATTTGAAAGATAACCAGGAGAGCTGGCCGGAACTGCCGGGTTTCATACTGCTAATTCCAAGGCTTTGAAGCCAAGTCACTGGCCGCGGCCTCCGACCATCAGCCACTCAGTGCAGACGTCCTGTTTAGCTTGTAGCTCATTGGTTCATGTCTCTGTCACATGGAGCTCCTGGATATGGCGGTCTCCGGCAGCTGGCAGGTGAGTGTGTTGGGCTGCTGGGCTGCTGGGCTGCAGAGCTGTGTGGGGTCAGGCTCTGGGGTCTCCCAGTGTTTCCATGCTGTCTCTCCCCGCAGCCTCCCCGGCCGTGCGAAGTCTACCGAGCCGAGTGGGAGCTCTGCCGCAGCGCCGGGCACGTCCTGTACCATTACTATGTCCACGGAAAGCCGCCGGACTGCAGGCAGTGGCTGCGCGACCTGGCCAACTGCCGGGAGTGGGAGGAAAGCCGTAGCGTGGAGGCCCAGGTGCGCGCAGGGTGGGGAGTGTACGCAGATCCTTCCGGGCATCCCCCTCGTGCTTACCTTCTGAGTACCCCAAACTGCGTTATTAAAGGGACTTTAGACCACGTCAAGTACTAGGAGGGAGGCAGAAAGAAGGGAGGTAGAGAAGCTCGGAGAGACAACCACCCAGCCTTAGGGTCATCCGGCCTACCAGAGGCAGCCTTCACCCAGCCCTTAGGGACAGGACAGAGGAAGAGAAAAGCCAAGGTGCCTGAAGCATGAGTGTGGGCTATAGAGGGGGTAAGAACAAACCTGAGAGAATCTGAAAATGTTCAAGCACGCATGATTTGAGTTACCTTTGGCAGTTCAGTCTGTCGAAGACGGAAACCAGTTGCTGTTGCTGGAACCTTTTCTAGGGAGATGTGAAGACGCCTCTACTTCCTCTAGATAGCATGTGGAATGAGGGAACAAAGAAAGGTTTCTACTTACTCTGGCTTGGTGAATCAGTGACTCTGTCCGGTCACTTATAGGAGTGACGCAAAGGCAGCAAAACCTGAAGGTCCAGCACCAGTGATTCCTGGAGCTCCCTGGACAGCTTCCAAGCAACTCCAGACTCCTCGCCCAGCCACTGTTACTGCTTTTATGATTTTGGGGAGGAAGCTGATAAAAATTTAAATCTCTGAGTTTCTTGCTGCTAAATTTCATGGGATTTCTGAGTTAGTTATTTCCCTCCTGGGTCCCTCTTACCTAGGAAATAGCTAAGACCCAGGGGGCTCCCAGTATCTATTCATTAAACAAATAGTTGTCTCCTTGGGCAATTTCTGATATAGGGTGATAAGGGGAGCCCTCCCTTCCTGGGGCACACTCCAGGCTGGAGTATGGTATTGCTTTCCTGGACAGTGTGTTGGGGGAAATGGAAGAGAAAACCCCAGGACAGGCAGGCATGGGGAGCATCAAGGAACAAGAGGTTTCATGCTAAACATATGTGAGCATCCAGAAACTGACAAATGGGGGAAACAAGATGCTGAAACAAAACAAGACCAGGAAGCAGAAACATGGCAACTCCTATTAAGTGAGAGTAAAAAACATGGCAGAAAGCGTGTTTGCATGGCAAGAGGTTGAAAACTTACTGTCTGTATGTCACCTATCATAGATTACTGTAAGAAGCAACGATGTTTCTGAAAAGAGAAACGGCCAAAGGTCACAGAGAAGCAGTTCACCATGGAACTTAGATCACAGAAGCAATTTATTTCTTTACTTTTTGTTTGTTTGTTTTTTTCAGACAGGGTTTCTCTTTGTAGCCCTGGCTGTCATGAAATTCACTCAGTAGACCAGGCTGGCATCAAACTCAGAGATCTGTCTGCTTCTGCCTCCCCAGCACTGGGATTAAAGGCGTGTAATGGCCTGGCTTCTTTGGAATTTTTAAAGTACTTTTATTGGTTTTTTTTGTTGTTGTTGTTGTTGTGTGTGTGTTTTGCCTGCATATATGTCTGTACCATATGCACACACTGCCTGAGGATCCCCTGAAACTGCGGTTTCAGATGGTTGTGAGCTGCCGTGTGGGTGCTGGGAATCAAACCCCGGTCCTCTGGAAGAGCAGCCAGTGCTCTTAACTGCTGAGCCAGCTCTCCAGCCCCTTAGTTTTTTTTTTTTTTTTTTTTTTAAATAAGTCTTTGTGTGTGGCATGTGTATGCATGTGCACACACTGTATGCTGAGGCCCTCTGTTGACATCACGCATCTTCCTCAGTCACTGCCCACCTTATTTTTGAGGCAGGCTCTCGCTCAGTCTGGGCTTCCCTCTCTCCATCTACTGAGTGCTGGGATTACAGGCATGCACCAACATTCTCAGCTACTTCTGTTTGCTTCTTAAGCAGTAACGATCTTTGTAGAGACAGGATCTGGATGGATAGCCCAGGCTGGTTTGAAACTTCAGTTCCCTTTGGCTCTGCCTGCCAACTGTTGGGAATACAGGTAGTCACTACCATGCCCGGTTTAAGAACATTTATAAAGAGGCCTGCTGCATAGCATGTGACACCAGGCCAGGCTCACCCCTGTCACAGTAGCCTGACCTGTGCCTTTGTTGGCGGTGGCTGAAAGAAGCTGGTGGGATGGAGGGCACCCTTTACACACTCCCTGTGCACAGTCCAGCAGTAACTTCGGACTGCTGTCTCCTCTCCACTCAGTATCCCCACTCTCAAGTTAGGCAGGTGGACTTGCTCCAAACTCTCCGGGTTAGCTATAGCTGAGGCCTAGGAGGTGTTTTCAAATGGCTAAAGGCAGACTGGGCAGGACCATGCGTGCTTACAGTTGTAGCACTAAGGAAGCAACAATAGCAGAAATTGAAGGTCATACATAGTGATCCTGAAGCCAGCGTGGGCTACTGGAAAGCCTGTCCCAAAAAAAAAAGAAAAAAAAGAATTGCTGAAGTAAGATCACCCATGATGCATAGAAGAATGGCTTAGATCTGTGTTTGCTAAACTGGAACAGTTGTCAAGGAATGTTATGTAAGAGTGTCTGAGCTGTGGAGCTGGATGTGCCATATGCTCCCATTTATTCCCCTTTTCAGAAAAGTGCTGAAGAAGAGGGTGATATGGGTGCCATGTGACAGTACTAGGGTCCCTTAGGATGTGAAGCAGTAAATGACCAGAGTCTCCTTTGTACAGCGATCCCTCTGTGAGAGCGAGCAGGCACGGGTCCAGGCTGCACAGAAGCACACCTTGGTATGGGCCTTGAGGCAGAGCCCCCCTGAAGACTGGAACCTTCCTCTGCCACAGGAGAAGGACAAGTGATGAGTGGCAGAAGGACAGGTGATGAGTGACAACCAACTGCAACCTTGGCCCTGACCTGGACTTTGACTAGCTCCCACTTGACTGGAACCCAGAGCAAAGCATTCCCAGCTGTTTACTTCCCACCTGCATTGGGGCATCTCATCACTTTGATACTCTGAAAGACACTTGTGTCTGTAATTACAGGTAGCCAAGCACTGTGGCAGGTACCTGTGAACAGCCAGGTTGGTCAGCCTATCCATGCCACATCTCCTGAGAACAACCATACTAGAGGTGGCAATCCTGAGGTATGAGAACCTCAAGTACGTAGTGGCAGCCTTGGCCTGTGTAGATACAAACTCAGAATGAGTTTGCTAAACAGTTCTACTGAGAATGGCTCTCTTTGACCATGAGAAGTGGACTTCAGTGTCTTGGGTTTGGTGATTACTGTGTTCTCCGAATGTGGAGCTCATACTTCCCCGGTGATGCCATGAGAAGGGCAACTTGCCCCTCTGCACCAGCACCTCTAATGGTTTTGCAGACTTTTAAAAAGAAACACACAGCGTTGCAGGAACTACCAAGTCTGGGGTTAAGAAATCCAAGTCCCAAGGCGGAGAGAGACAGAGTCTAGGTCCAAGGAATATGGGATTGGGGCCTCCTGATTTCTTGTTGTTAATGTATTAAAAGCCGTTTCACATGTTTGATTCCAAAAGCAACCTGAAAGTCATGTTTGTTATACTTTACGCCTGTCCTAGTTAGGGTTTCTATTGCTGAGATGAAACACCATGACCAAAAGCAAGCCGGAGAGGAAAGGGTTTATTTGGCTTACACTTCCAGATTGTAGTCCATCATTGGAAGAAATCAGGCCAGGAATTCAAGGACAGGAACCTGGAGGCAGGACCTGATGTAGAGGCCGTGGAAGAGTGCTGCTTACTGGCTTGCTCAGCCTGTTTTCTTAGAGAAAACAGCCACAATGGGCTGGGCCCTCCCGCATCAATCACTGATTAAGAAAAATGCCCTCCACCTGGAACTTACAGGGGCATTTTTTTCACTAAGGGTCCCTTCTTTCAGATTACCCTGGCTTTGTGGTTCTCAGCCTTCCTAATGCTGTGACCCTTTAATACAGTTCTCATGTTGTAGTGACCTCCAACCATAACATTCATTGCTACTTCATAACTGTAATTTTGCTATTGTTATGAATTAGAATGTAAATATCTGATATGCGTGATATCTGATAGGCAGCCCCTGTGAAAGGGTCATTCAGCCTCCAATGGAGTTGAGACCCACATGTTGAGAAATGCTGCCAGCTTGTATCAAGTTGACATACAACTAGCAGCACAATACTCAACAATGCTGTATACTCAGATTAGTATTTGTTCTCTTGTAGGGTTTAGAATATATATTCAAACATACAAGTAGCTGGGCATGGTGGTGCATGCCTGTAATCTCATTACTCAGAGAGGCAAAGACAGGTGGATCACTGAGTTTGAGGCCAGTCTGATCTACAAAGCAAGTCCAGGACAGCCAGGGCTGCACAGAGAAACCCTGTCTTGGAGACAAAAACAAAAAACATAACACGTGTGCAGACATATGCATGAACATAAGCCTGCACACGTTCACACATACATGAACACACTCATGAGCGTAGGTGCATGCACAAGTGTATACACGTGCACACAAACACAAGTGCATGCACCCACACCAGCATGTGCCATATATGTGTGAACACATACAAACGTGGCACACACAAATGAGTATCACATAAACACATGCATGTACACAATTGACACACAAATATATGGATGTAAGCACTCACACACAGACACATGCACACAGGAGTACACTGACAAATGTGAATGCTCATAGGAACACATGTATATACATGCACACAAACATATACACACACACAAGAACAGGAGCGCTCATAGAGGTCTTTTTATTACTAAGATGGTCAAAGCTCTTCTGGTTGCACTCTAGGCTTTATGTCAGATGCTAAGGCCAGTGTGGTCCAGTTGCATGCCTTTTCTGTGGCCTTCCTGGCCATAAGCAGTAGGGTGACCATCTCTGAGGCAAAATTACAGATTGCCTCAGCAAAGGATACATTGTAGAATAAAGTTTCCCACCTGCATGTTCTGTGCTGTGAATGTTGGGACTTAGGTACTCACAGGAACTCTGACCACTCAGCAACCCCACCCCCACGGAGCAGTGTCATTGATGCACTTCACCTTCCTTCTCAGCTGTAAATCCCACACCAACATAGAACTTGGGCAAAAATTTCCTGCATTTACCCTGTGTTCATTTAATTTGTTCTTTTTTCAGTGTGGAGAAACAAAACCAGGACATTGTGTAAGGGGGTCTCAGGGTCAGCATAGAACACACCCAGACACCAAATTCTCAGCACAAAGGAGATCTGTTCCCCTCAAGGGAAAGGAGGTGGGGAGCTATCTCTGCATTGTTCAAAGACAGCAGGTGTTTCTGCAGGAGTAGTTTTTACGGGGAAAATGGCGAAGTGGCTTGAGTTGTTAAGTCTTGATTGGACATGTCAGCCAATGTAGCCAAATAATGAATTTTGATTGCTGGACCTCGGAAATAAGGGAATAGACTTTGGGAGCTAGCTGTAGGAATGTAATTAACATTTTAGCAAGGGAGAGGGAAGGGAAAAGGACAAGACCTGCTGGCACTGTGCTTGAAATGTTTGGGCCTCTTGGATAGCCCTTCACACTGTACATTCTAGATTCGTGTTCTACCACTGAGCTATGCCAGACAAGATCACAACTTTGAAACTGGCAGGTTTTTGGTATTTTAAGGGAAAGAAAGACATAAGTGTTAAATATTGATAGAGTCTCTGGTTGGGGGCATGGCTCAGAGGAACAAAATTCCCTTTGCCAGCACAAGGGCCCAAGTTTGATCTCCAAGCACTGCAATAAATAATGACTAAGAGGTAAAGCCAGGTGGTAGAGTGCCAAGCTATGATCCAAGCACTTGGAAGACAGAGGCAGAAGGATCAGGAGTTCAAGACCACCCATGGCCATATGAGACCTTGTCTGGAAAACAATCATTAACAACAACCAAATAAACAAACAAAGTAAAAGCTGAATATTACAACAAAAGTGCACACAGAATCAGGGCACAGTGGTGCACACCTTTGATCCCAGCACTTAGGAGGCAGAGGCATGCGAAGCTCTGAGTTCGAGGCCAACCTGGGTGAGTTCCAGGACAGCCAGAGCTGCACAGGGAAACAAAACAAAACAAAAGAATAAAGTGCGCACAGGAGTAAGATGGAGCTGTGTCTCAAACTCTTTGAACAAAACTCCATAGTCCATAATTACAAGTGTATTGTACATATTACCATTGCAAAAAGCTTCACATAGGGTTTTGTTGGCTTTTGTTTTGTGTGTTTTTTTTTTGTTTTTGTTTTTGTTTTTGTTTGAGACAGGGTCTCACTATATAGCTCTGGCTGTCCTAGAATTCACTTAAGTAGACAAGGCTAGTCTTGAACTCTCAGAGATCTGTCTCCCAAGCGCTTGACTGTCACACGGGTTCTTATCTAAACTGTGGAGAACACACTGCTATTCTCATGAAGCTGATGTATACATAACAACTTAGATAAAATCCAAAGAAAGTACTTGAGTTAAAAAAATAAAAAATCTTATGGGCCTGGAAATCTAGCTCAGCTATTAAAGGGCACTTGCTGCTCTTCAGAGGACCTGGGTTTAATTCCCAGTACCCACATGATAGTTCATAACCATCTGTAATTCCAGTTTCAGGGGATCCATTACCCTCTTCTGACCTCTGCAGGCACCAGACATGCACACACATGCAAAACACTAAATAAAAATTGTATAATTGTATAAATCTAATAAACATTTAAAAAATAATCCAGCAGTCCTCTTAAGAATAAACATGCAGGAATCATGGGACAGGCCTAAGGGAAGAGGGGAATTAGTCATGGCAGACCCATGGTGAAAAACCCACAGAGCAGGGCTGGCAATTCTTCAGGGCTGTGTGATGAAGGAAGGTATGTACAATCTGATGCACACATAGAGGAATGCAGATATAACTGAGGAAATTGAAATGCTCTGTGGAGTACAAGGTGAGTTTCTGGATCCTGACACTGTTCTTCAGTGTGTTGTTTAAGCACATTAGCGATAGACTCTGTCGGAGTCACCAATAAACCCATAAGGAGAGAAAAGAACTTACCCTTCAAATTAACCAAGAGCAAATTCTTATTTGAATTCTCTGCCTTATGCTCCCTCTGTCTTCAGCCCACTGTCTGCTGTTATATGAGTCTGAATCTATACCTGCCTGGAGGCTGTCTTGTGAATCTGTCCCTGTATCTGTCTGTTGTTTCTATGTGTCTGTCCCTAACAAAGGGACTGTTACTGAACCATACAGAAAGCATCACATGGGGAAGAAATGAGGAATGCTTTACAGAAATCTTTAATAGAGTTTTACAGGGGATTAAGTGACTGACTTCAACTGACCCAGATAGCAAGCAACATTATAAAAATCAGTGTTTATCAATCAATATTTTAAAGTGTTCAACACTATCCATAATTGTTCTGTTCAGCATTTATGGTGGATATTCTTTTTTTTTTTTTTTTTAATTTTGTTTTGTTTCTGTTTTCGAGACAAGGCTTCTCTGTTTAGCCTTGGCTGTTCTGGACTTGCTTTGTAGACCAGGCTGGCCTCAAACTACAGAGATCTGCCTGCCTCTGCCTCCTTGAGTTCTAGGATCAAAGGCGAGTGTCACCAGGCCTTGCTCACCTGCTAGATCACAGGAATGCGTCACCACACCCAGCTGGACTTTAATTTTATAAGATTATTTTCAACTTCTACACTTGCTGGTTTAGCAAAGAACACAAATGCACTAATCTTATCCAAGGGCATGGGAGAGTATATAATTTAAATTAAACTTTAATGCTGGGCATTAGTTTAGGCTGTAAAAGTTGATTACATGGGATATTTATGGCAAGTAAAGTTTGTTCTCTTAAAGGCCAATTAAACAAACGGGCTGAGCCTAAGTGGGAGAGCAGTCTTAAGTAACTTCAAAGTGTATTATTAACTCTGTCTGTGAGGTCCAGAAAAAGTTCCAGTTTCTTAAAATATAAGAGCGATCTTCGGGGCTGGAGAGATGGCTCAGAGGTTAAGAACACTTACTGCTCTTGCAGAGGCCCTGAGTTCAATTCCCAGCAACCACATGGTGGCTCACAACCATCTATAACAAGATCTGGTGCCCTCTTCTGGCATGCAGGTGTACACGCAGGGAGAACATTGTATACATAATAAATAAATTAGAGAGAGAGAGAGAGAAATCTTCACAATCTTGCATGGCCACAGTTTCTCTTTTTTTGTTTTATTAAAGAAGTGTGACCATGGAGGTAGTCACTGATGAAGAGCTGTACAGGCATGCTATACTGTGGGGGCAGTCTGAATTGGTATCACCTCATCCCAAGTGGTCCCTCTGAAAAGTTCACAAAGGCATGGTAGGACTTTGAGGAGGAGACAGACAGACAAATAGAACAGCTATTCCTGTAGAAGATCACATCTTAAAATTTAACCCTGGAGCTGGAGAGATTGCTCAGAGGTTAAAAGCACTGGCTGTTCCTCCAAATGTCCTGAGTTCAATTCCCAGGAACCATATCGTAGCTTATAACCATCTACAATGAGGTTTGGTGCCCTCTTCTGGTGTGCAGGCATACATGCAGGCAGAACACTGTATG